TAATTTATTTAATTTATTTGCCTACTTTAATCACATGTTTAATTATTTTTATATGTATTTAAACAAGAATTTGTGTATTTATACACACATTTATTTATTTATTTATTTGTGTATTTATTTATTTATTGTTTTTGCAGGTTTTGTCCTCCATAGAGGCCGTCAGGCGGCCGCTGTTGCGGTAAATTAAGCTTTTTTATGCCCGTCTAACAAAATACTAAATTAATTCAGCTGGACACACTTTCCTTATTTTCTCCACAACAAATGGCCAAGCAAGCGCAGACACTGACAAGATACGCGATACAGACCGAGACCAAACGCGATATCAGCACGTCTCCACACAGTAAACAAAACAAGCGTTTCCTTGCAACGACACCTGCACTAAACACTAATGAGACAAGTAAATACACTTAACCCTCTTAGCGCCAAAGTTGCAAAATTGCGACAAGACGTCATACTTAATCAAATAGACTGTATACACACATTTATTTATTTATTTATTTGTGTATTTATTTATTTATTGTTTTTGCAGGTTTTGTCCTCCATAGAGGCCGTCAGGCGGCCGCTGTTGCGGTAAATTAAGCTTTTTTATGCCCGTCTAACAAAATACTAAATTAATTCAGCTGGACACACTTTCCTTATTTTCTCCACAACAAATGGCCAAGCAAGCGCAGACACTGACAAGATACGCGATACAGACCGAGACCAAACGCGATATCAGCACGTCTCCACACAGTAAACAAAACAAGCGTTTCCTTGCAACGACACCTGCACTAAACACTAATGAGACAAGTAAATACACTTAACCCTCTTAGCGCCAAAGTTGCAAAATTGCGACAAGACGTCATACTTAATCAAATAGACTGTAGTTCCTAACATGGAAAAGAAAGACCCAGTAACTTGTCTGAATTTTGTGGCATTCCAATAAAAGATTATATTACTTATTTAGGAATTACGATATGCAAAGATCAAAAAGAAAGAATAAATCTTAATTATACCCCAATAATGAACAAAATTCAAAAGAAATGTAACATTTGGCTGATGACCTTTCTTTAAACGGGAGAGTTTTATTATCAATATCTGAAGGTTTATCCAGACTAGTTTACACCGCAATGGCTATAGATATTCCAAAAAGTATCATTAATGAGATAAATAAATGTATATATAATTTTATTTGGAAAAATAAATATCATTATTTGAATAAAAAAAATACTTTGTAATCCACTTAATCAAGGTGGGCTAAATGTACTTGACTTTGAAATATCTAACACTATTTTTTAAAATTAAGTGGATACAAAATTGCATCCGTTCAAAAGATAAGCTATGGTATTATATCCCTAATATTATTTTTGAAAAAGTAGGTGGGATTGAATTTCTTCTTAATTGTAATTTTAATATTAGCAAGCTTCCCATAAAACTTTCCAATTTTCACAAACAGGCCTTGTTATCATGGATGATTATATACAAACACAATTTTTCCCCTCACAAATGTTTAATCTGGAATAATAAATACATTATACACCAAAATAAGTCTCTTTTTTTAGTTAATTGGTTTAGAACAAATATTTTGTTGGTTTCTCAACTTCTGAATAGTAGTAATGGTCATGCGCTTACATATTCAGAGTTTTTAGAAAAAAATTCATTTTAAATACCTGTTAAGGAGTATATGATGGTAATTAATGCCATTCCTTCAGAACTTAGGAAATTATTAGAAAATGATATAGTCGAAAAACCAAATTTAGATTTCAGTGTTAAACTGGAAGGTATAAATATAAAAGAACAAAAATGTAATAATAATTATTTTAGAACGATTTGCCAAATTTCCAGTGTTCCTTTAGCCATCGGTTTTTGGAGATCACAATTTCAAGATGTCAACTGGAAAGAAACCTTTAAGATCTCCAGACGTTTTTGTATCACAAATAAAATTAGAGAAGTATCATACAAGATCGTTCATCGTATTTATCCTGTAAAACAGGTAATTGCAAAGTTTTGTAAAGACATTGACTTGAAGTGTGTTTTCTGTAAAGATGAAAATTAGAGTATTGTTCATTTATTTTATGATTGTATTTATACAAAATTATTTTGGTGTGATTTGTTTTTTTTCTGTTAAACAAAGTATTAATATTGAATTGCAACTCAAAGAAAAGGATGTTTTATTTTTTTATGAGTACACTGTTGACTTCAAGATTTGGTATATTGTGAATTTACTCATTATATATGGAAAATTCTTTATTCACAAATGTAAATGGGCAGTAAAAAAAACTAATTTTACTCATTTCAAAATAGAAATAGGTAACTACTTGTATACGTTAAAAGAAACAAGAAGTAATAAAGCAAAAAAAAAACTGTAAATTATTTTAAAGCCTTAAATCTATTCTTTGAATAATTTGTAATTATTTGTACTTGTTTACAGATGTGAGATTTTTTTTAATTGCTTTTCTTATTTAATTTTTATTTATTTATTTTAAGTATTTGTTTTCATTCAGTTGAAATGTTATTGCCCTTATATGTTCTTTGTTCTAAAAATTGCACACAAAAAAAACAAAAACAAAAAAAGTTCCTAATATGGTGTAATATCTAATTTGTATTCCCTACCACTAGATGGCAGACATGTAGTACTTCGATTCTAGACCAAAATTACGTCACCTTCCTATTCAAAAGCCTTGTCCAAATACCCACACTTGCGGTCTTTGCACTTGACCACTTGACTACTTATATGATGTATTTCCTGTATTTGGCCCAAGTTTTCATGAGAGCGCGTGCGCGCGACAGGAAGTAAGTGCGCAAGACTGTCCCAGGTCTTAAAAACGCCAGAGCGCAGTGCCCTTAACGCACACTAAACCCACACTGTGACTATCTCGAATACCGCTCCGGAGTGCTAGTTAGTGTATCCCATCACAACCAACTGTGAAGAGACTTTTTGCCGAGATCTCGCGAGAGGTCACGGAAACCTTTCTAATGTAAGTTAAATATTAATATAATAATTAGATATTACAAATAATTTGGTAGAAAAACAGTGTTTTTACTTTTATTGGTGCAAAGATGGCGTGATATTTATTTTGCACAACATTTTTTTATGATTTAATTAGAAGCACCGCAAATTAAAATTATGTCATGTTATAGGGACTACTGAACAGACATTTAGAAGTTGATTTTAAAATGCAAAGTATTTCAAATTAAAATTAAAATAAAGCTGTGTAAACACTTGCATTTTTACAACAGGTAATGAAAAGTTCGACACACACTTGTGGTCTTCATGATCACTTGAAGACTTCGGCCAAATACAGGAAATACATCATATAAGTAGTCAAGTGGTCAAGTGCAGAGACCACAAGTGTGGGTATTTGGACAAGGGGACACTTGTGATCTTCATGCTCACTTGAACACTTGGGCCAAATACAGGAAATACATCATATAAGTAGTCAAGTGGTCAAGTGCAGAGACCGCAAGTGCGGGTATTTGGACAAAGCCCAAGTGAGCTTTCGTGTCACTGATGCGGAAGCAGTTCAGCTCATAGCGTGCGGGTAAGAGATTTGTGAGAGAAAATCGCCAAATGGCTAATAAAAAGTTGAACCGCGAGGATGTTTTGCAAATGTTATTCGCCGATTCTGACTCTGAAGGGGAATATTTGCCTTTTGGAAATGACGATTGGTCGTCTAATAATCGCTTCTCCCGGTACGGCGAGAGTGTTCACGAAGCACAAACAAGTGATCATTTCGACTCTTTGCCCAACGGGGATGGGGGTGGCAGGGCAATATCTATTATTTCCTGAATATTACTGATGAACTGATCAAAAAGTAGGATACTGTTCACATGCGTTTTACTACAATATATTATAGTAGTATAGTAATAATTTAGTACTTTCTCCTGTTTTATTGTTGGTTTCCTCTTTTCTGATCATTTGGAATGAGGATAAAAAGAAAAATAAGTTCTAACATCAATTCAATATCTATTATTTCATGAATATTATGACATTCAAGAGGGTCGCCCCCTGATGACGTCATAATATACAAATTAGATGTGTATATTTGACACCCCACATAAACTTTCGGTCATGCCCAACATTTTTCTAATTTAGATTAGATCTCTATCTTTAAGCCCTTTCAAGCCACAAGCTTTTGAAATCTTGATGTCAAAATCCAGCATTTAAAAAAAAAAAAAAACCTGGTGCCTAAAGGGTTAAATAATCTATTCTATTATGTTCTTACAGCATTATAGAACACAATACAACATAATAGAACCTTATAAAATGTCCCATGTTAACCTTCCACTAAAATACCATACTACACTTAAGTTCTAGCTATTTTTTGCTGAAAATCTAAATAAATTAAAAAAGTCTAACAGTGTAAGACATTTTCAAATATTTACCTTGGTAAACATGGTAATTATGTGAGTTGTGTCAAACAATAAACATACTCCCAAAAATAATGGCCTTTCGTGATTTTTTTATGTATTTGGACCTATTCTATTATATTCTGTTCTATATGCTGTTTTAAAGCATAGTTATATAGAACATAATACAGTTTAAAAGAATGTAGAAAATGGTAACAATGGTTTCCACCAAAATGCCATACTACACTTGAGTTATCATTATTACTGAAGATCAAAATAAATTAATGTGGCCCACTTCAAACTGAAAAGTTTGACTAGAATAGAAAAGACCCATTCAAATATTTACCATGGCTTCCATTACTATGATTAATTGCTATTGTTAATTATATGTATAATCAGAATAAATAAATATAGGACTTTATTAAATAGTGTAAATTATATAGTTTTGTAAGAACGGAAAATAATATGACATATGATATGTTGTATTGTTGTTCTTGTGTAAGCTGTGTCAAACAATAAAATATCCCCAAATACATAATGGCTTTTTTAATGTCATGTTTGTATAAATACATCATATAAAACAGGGTCATTTGTACAAATAAATGGAGACAAGATAATTAACATGTTATAAATCTTTTTATTTAAAAAAAAAAATCTTGATTCATGTAACGGACAAAATAATTCAAAATTCAAAACAAAATTGAAGTAATTTCAACTCTTTCATTCTGTATAATGTTCTCTGAGGTGTTTTTGCACAGCAAAACCGACTTGGTAACATTTTACTTGATTAATGGCTTATTCTTAGGTGGCCACAAAACTGCCTGTGCATTTAGTACTGTATAAATATATTATATAATTGCACAGATAAAACATTGACAGAATATTAACAGTCAGTTATTAATGTTACGTTTGTTTGGCCATGAAATTGACCAGAATTGCTTCATTCAGACATAGGCATTTCTTCCATAAGTGCTCTGAGCGTCTCTCTTGGATGCAGATGCTGAGTAAGCTGTTTCACGTGTGGGCTGGTAGTAACTGCAAGAGAAGATGCAGAACGTAAGAAACATGCTCCCAAACACATGCACAAATGCATAAAATAACAACAATGGGCAAAATGTTATTTGAGAAAGTGTGTGAAAGAGAGAAGTGTTTGAGTGAGTGTAAGAGATTGCGACAAAGAAACTCACGTCTTCTCCTTTGTGCCTAATTTGCAGGAGAACATGAGACAAGCTCCACCACAGATGGCAAGAACACCAGAGGCCCAGCCGATGTATAAACCCTCTCCAATCTCATACCTATAGCACACCACAAAAATAACATGTTCAGTCTAACATACAGCTACTGACAGCTTTTGTACCTTTTTTCTGAGAGTGTTAAAACACACGTAAACCTATAGTAAAGCACAGCAGGGCAATTTAGTTATAGTTTGCAGTTTAAGTTTAATACTTTCTAAAACGGTGAGCACCACCAACAGGTGTTCAATGAGAGTAGTAGTTGAGTATGAGATGAGACAGCAGGAGTCAGCATAATTGCCCATGGAGCACTCACTTTTGACCAGGGTAGAGTGGGTTGAAGAACTCTTGAGTGATGTTTGCCGCGTACCATGACACTGATATCATTGTGCATAAACCTTTGGATGGGATTAAAAAAACATAAAGATTAACAGATACAATATCAACAACAGATACAATAGCAATAAAGCTTTCGGAATGTGAATCTGATAAGGACTCCTTTAACGATAGCTTAGCTGTTTAGGAGATTCCAATCATCGTTGAGTTTAATTAGTAATGTGTCTTACCCTGCAGCAGGTAAAATGCACCACCTGTACCGGCGATTCTGCCTTTCAGTACGTAGTTGTCACCAGCGGCCTTCGAACACTGCATGCCGATGAGGGTGGCCACCACTCCGAATGTGCCAGACACCACTGCCGCGATCATAAGAGCGCGAGACGCCTGGATATAACCTGAGGAAACACAAATATTTATCATTACAATGCAATATTAATAAACATACTAAAAGATCTGAATACAGTATTGAAAAAAGAATATAAAATATATAGGATTATATATAAAATAATTACCGCACAAAATAAACAGCATAAAGAAAGAAAGTCAAACTGATATAAAAATTGTTACGTATCCGGTCCATGAACTTCCGTCTGCTAGCCATCAGAGGTCACCCTTTCCATTTTCATTGACTCTCGCACTACACACTGTTACATATCACCCCGGACTACATATCCCATCATTCATTGCACTGATTGCACACAGCACTGATTGCACACAGCTGTTTCATATCACTCACTCACAATTTAACACTCCATCTCACTCCTTCTAACTGCCGAGTATTGTATGCGCTTATCGCCAGCAGTGATAGCTACTCTACAGAGCCCTCGTTAGCCTTGCCTTGCCTCTCAGTTTCTGATCTTTGCCTGTTTTCCTGGATTTATCCCTTTAGTCTTGCCCGTTTGATTCTGTTTGCTATTCGTTGACCTTCGCTAGCCCTAGGATTATTCTTGTGTCTTGCCCGCC